GGGGGGTCATCGGGGCTGGGGTGGGGATAGTGGGGGTGGGGGGGTCACCTGGGTCGGGGTTCCGACTGAGGGGGGAAGCCACAGAACATCTGGTCCAGGACAGTGCCAGGTGTTACCCCGCCGTTCCCCCTTCAGAGGTCTCTGGAGTGACTGGACAGGTTCTCGTTGTCCCCTTCAGATCTGGATGTGCCGGCCCAGGGCCTCTCCAGTCTGCCCGGGAGCCACGGGTGCCATCCAGCCAGCCCCTGCCAAGGTCCAGTGAACTTTGTTCTGCCCAAGTGGCGCGGTCTGGTTGGCATGCTTTAGGCTAGCTCTCAGCTCCCGCTCCAGGCTGTGAAAGGTGCCCGCCAGCCCCTTCTTAGTGGAGCTCTGCTGACAACGGACTTATTTGGTAAAAACACCTCCTTAGGAACTGGAGACAGAGCTTTAGTATTGCAGCGCCAGCCTTGAAGGGAAACCCTTGAGCAAGTGTAAGAAGGTCTTGAATGCAAGCCCCCCCTCCCCCCCTCCTACAGGCACTAAAAACAAACCACATTCATAGGCAAGGCTGGGACTTGAGTGTCTTTGGGGCAGAGTCTTGTGGGGTGTCTCTCCTTTAGGGACCGAGGCTACGACACTGGGCTTCTCTGGGGCTATCTGTGACCGGGGATCACCCAGGCAAAGCTGCCCCCTCTGTCTCTAGAGTCCTGGTGTGCTGCCCAGCTGCGGACGGCACTCCTGGGCCTCTGCTTCCTTCTCAAGTTCCGGGTAAAGGCTGGGCAGCCACACACTTCAGGAAGGCTGTCCCCAGGTTTTTTTTTTGGGGGGTGACTTCGTGCCCCTGGAGTTTCCTGTTTTTATTCTTTCAAGTAGTGGTGCAACTCTTTTGTAACTTTCCTTGCCCCTGTGCCCCACACTGATGTTTTGGGGAAAGAGAAAACCCAGCCCCAGCCCCCTTGTCTCTCTGACTCTCTGACAACCTGGATGCTTTTTGTGTGTGTGCCAATATGGCATCTTGAACTTAGGGCCTAGGCACTTAAGCTTGTTAGGCTGGAAACCCTATCATTTGAGCTACTGCTCCGCTTCTGGCTTTTTGGTGGCCAATTGGAGATGAGAGTCTCAGACTTTCCTGCCTGGCTGTCTTTACGCTGTGATCCTCAGATCCCAGCCTGCGAGTAGCTGGGATGACAGGCGTGAGCCACGGCGCCCGGCTTGGAGGCCTGTTTCTGGGACCATTCTCTTGCTCCTCCTGACTGACTGGAGGCTCAGTCCAGGGCCTTCCTGGGTAGCCATTTGGGGGTTCGCGGGGTTCAGGGATCCCATCAGGGCTTCCCTGTGGGTCCTGCAGGGGTGGAGGTGCACGTCCATCGGGCTACACTTCTCTGGGCATCTGCGACGTCACGCCTCTCCTTGCTCACGTGTAAACTGGAAATGGGCTGTGGAGAGTGTGCATAAGACAAGTGTGAAGTGTGAGCTCAGTGCCACGTGTCCCCCGAGCCACCGGGGTCTCTGCGCGGTGACCCATGCGTGAGTGGGCAGAGCGCCCAGGGGCCAGGCGTCCCGCTGGGCTGAGGTCTCTGCGTTGACTCCCCCGGCCCAGGTGTGTACGTGTGCGCCAAGTGCGGCTACGAGCTCTTCTCCAGCCGCTCCAAGTACGCACACTCGTCCCCGTGGCCGGCCTTCACCGAGACCATCCACGCAGACAGCGTGGCCAAACGCCCGGAGCCCCATCGCCCCGAAGCCCTGAAGGTAGGTGGCCGGGGAGGCCCGAGAGCAGGTCACCCCCCTTCCCCCGCTCCCCTCACACGCTTGGGCCTTCAAGGCCGGTTCAGGCCTTCAGCCTGGGCTGCGGAGCCTGGCACAGGGCGCGGGCAGCGGGACACGATCCCCTCAGGCCCAGCCTCTCGCGAGCCCGCAGCCCACGCGGCGTGTGGTCCTCGCAGGTGTCTTGTGGCAAGTGTGGCAATGGGCTGGGCCACGAGTTCCTGAACGACGGTCCCATGCGTGGGCAGTCCCGATTCTGAATCTTCAGCAGCTCGCTGAAGTTCATCCCTAAAGGTGAGTGGGGAGGGGCACGGGGGGGGGCCCCTGTCCCCTGGGGAGGCGATGGGCCAGGAGCGGGGCGCATCCCAACTGTGCGGCACGTCAGGGACAACAGGGTGAATGTCCACCGCTCCAACCTGAGTCCCGCCCAGTCCTGGCAGGGATGGTGGGCCCGCACCCCGGCCACGTTCGGCCGTGGCCTCTGGTGTCATGTTGGAGCTGCTGAGTTCCGTCTCCATGGCCTGGCCTGCGGCTCTTGGCTCACCGGGTCCTCACCCCCCCCCCAGCCTGTCTGCACACAGGGTCACCCCTCCCCGTGCTCCGTGACTCCACTTCCTCTCTCGCGGTCCCCAGGGCCACCCCCGTCCCTTACCCCTGCTTCGCGCTCAGCAGTGCGGGACTGTCAGTAGCACAGGCTGGTGTGGGGCTCCACCAGGTGACGTTTGGCTCCATCTTCATTGTCTTGGAGGAGGAAGAGACCGCCGGTTTCGGGGACCCATGTGTGCGCCCTCTAACTTGCCTACTGGCCGAAGAATGAGTTAATGCTCGATTGCTTTCTCTCTTCTCCCTCCTTTTTTTCAGGCAAAGAAACTTCTGCTGCCCAGGGGCAGTAGGTGGGCAGCCCTCCCCCCCCATGGACTCGCGGTGGCTGGCTGGGCCCTGGCTGTGGCATCTCAGCATTCCTACAAGAAGGCAGGGCGGGGGTGGCTGAGACATCGGAAAAGACAGACTCCTTGCACAAAGCACCCCAGAGGCCAGGGCTGAGCCTCGGCCTTTCCTGACGCACGCGGTCTCAGGAGACTTACATACTGCCAGGAGATTTATACATATGCCCATGTGCCCGTGTATTCTTCCCATTTCCTCCCTGGCTCTCTGTATCTCTTGCGATGGACACCAGTTCCCAAACCTGGACCCCACCGAAGCCCTGTGCCTTCCCTTGCCTGTTGCGGGGGGGGGGGGGGGGAGGAGGAACGCAAACACGGCCGCCCCGCCGCCCCCTCCAGCCCTGGTCACCGCATGATCTGCCCTGGCTAAACCCTCCTAGGCCAGCCAGGGTGGTGACAACCTGTGGCCTGCGGGAGGAGTAGAGCCAGCCCAGCCCTGTTTCACCATCTGCGGGTACCGCTCGCCTCCACTACTGTTGCTTCATGACCTGGCCGGTGCAGCTGCCCCGCGGTCACCGGCCTCGGTCCACACCTGCAGAGATGTCCCAAGCCCTGTGCTCTTGCTAGGGGAGGACGGGGGAGGCAGAAGCCTGTCCCCCAGCTCGAGTCTTGGAGTAATCAGGTGGAAATGAATAAAGGTGAGCCCTGGCCGCGCGCGCACGTGCGTGCAGTGCTGCTCCAGCCCCGGCCTGCTGTCTTGGTTCCCATCCAGAGGGAGGGTGAGCATCTGGCGTGCTCTGAAAATATTTGTGGTTCTGTATTGAGGATGCAGCTGTGTGTGCAAGATGGGGTCTGAGGTAGATGGAGGTCGCCCTCAGAAAGCCTGTGTGAACCCTGGAAGGCAGTAGTAAGAAGGTGCAGCCATCACCCTTGGCTTGAGGGAGCGGAGTCATGCAAGTCCTTGGAACACACAGCGGCAGGGACCAAGTGAGGTGCTCACGGTTCCCAGGGACAGCTGCAGTCCCAGCTGCACTCAGACCTAACGTGGCCCACGGCTTCTCTAGACGTGAAATGGGCGGACCCCTGACTGGACTGAACAAGTATCGGTCCAAGAAACAGAAGACTCACATGAACCCCAGAACAGCAGTGTTCTGCGGCCTTGGGGCCCCAGAGCCTGGCGGCCAGGGAGGCCAGGCAGCCTTCAGCTATACGGTGAATCTGGCCTTGTACCCGGGTGATTGTGCACCGGGGCAGGGAAGCAGCGAGACCCACATTCCCAGAGGCACCAGTGTCCCTCTCAGTCGGGGGTGTGCGGCAATTGCCAAACAAGAATGGCCCCCAGCCTTCCTACAGGGAGGCCCAAGGTGGCTTCTGAGAGGCCAGGCCCAGGTGCCGGCCCAGAGCCTGCCCGCAGGGGGCGCTCGTGGCCCACAGGCCTGGGGCATGGTGGGCTGCAGTTTCCTGGAGCTGCCACTGGGGGGCACCGCACAGCCCAGCCTCATCTGGGACCCATTAGCCAGGTGCCCCAGGGCTCTAGCGGGCCCTGTGTCCCGGGTGACCTGTGCAGGGGGCGCCTTTGGACCCACTCCCCTTTCTGGAGCCAAGAAAGGAGGACAGATGGGGGACAGGTGGAGGATAAGGGAAGGGACGGGACGGGGAAGCTGGGCGTGTTTGGAGGCGCAGATACAGGCAGGATCTCCCAAACGCAGCCCAGTGCCAGTCCTCTCTCCAGGTCCCTGGTGGGGTCCCATCTGCACTGATGCCCCCTCCCTGGTTCTCTCCTCTGAGAGTTTGGGCCTTGGCCCGCCCTAGGCTTGTATGCTGAAGTTGCAGCCCTGCAGATCTCTGTTCCTCTGCCCCCATCTCTCCCTGCTGCAGAGCAGGATGCTCCTTGTAGCCCACCCCCTTGCCCCTCCGCCAGCCAGCCATCTTGGCAGGGTGGTCCCAGCTGTCCCCCCTGAGGTTTCTTTGTCCAAGTTGAAGAGCTCCCCAAACCCATGGCCACAGCATAGTCTCTCCATCAGAGGCTGGCCTCGGGTTGCTGTGGTGCATGGTGGCTGTGTGGCCTGGTGTGGCTGCTAAGCGGGGAGGGCCTGCCTCCTCTCCCTTCCAACGGGACTTTTTTTCATGATTCAGTTCTGACACTGTCAATCTTGTCCGCCCTGGCCAGCCCTGGCCAGCCCATGACCCTTCCCTGCCATGTATCCACCAATCTCCACCAGTAAACCCCCAGGTTTTGGAAAGTGGAGTCACAGACGCCTTTCTCCTCTGGTCTTGTCCCCACGGCAGACAATAGGAGGTGCTCAGGTGCTGGGTGGGGGAGCAGCTGTTCCCGCAGCCCCTTGTGCCATGGTCCCTATTACATGTTCTCAGTCTCTTTACCAGGAGCCAGGCCCTTGGAGAGGAGGGGTTTGTCATCTTTAATAAACACAGGAGAGGAAGCCACTGGTGGCTCATACTTGTAATCCTAGCTACTCAGGAGGCTGAGGTTCAAAGCTAGCCTGGGCAAGAAAGTCTGAGACTCATCTCCAATGACTCACTGAAAGGTCACAAGTGGAGCTGTGGCTCAGGTGGTAAAGCCCTAAGCCTTGAGCACAAAAGCTCAGGGACAGCACCCAGGCCCTGAGTTCAAGCCTCCCCACCCCCACCCCCCACAAAATGGAAAGGGAGGCAAGGAGCTGGGTCCCTGGCAGGGAAGACCTGGAGATCCTTTCATGGAGTCACTGCTGCCGGCCCCCTGCCACATCTCCCACGGGGGAAGGGAAGCAGGCCAGGCCAGGGAGGGTGGCCGGCAGCGTCCTCTCGCAGCGGCCCCTGCCCAGGACAGCTGCATCCTCTCTCTTGGGCACATCCGGCATCCCGAGTGGAAAAACCCCCACACAAATCAAGGACATCTGGGCCTGCCCTGGGGCCGCAGCCCTCCCCTGCTCCCCTAGCCAGACTCCTTCCTGTGGTGTGGTGTGGGGGTGCAAGGCAGGCTGTGCGAGGGGAGGGAGGTCCTGGAGTTGTTCATGTGCGAACCCCCCTCAGCTGTCCCCCGCTGAGGGAGGAGCTGCACCGGGACTAAGCAATCTACCTAGGGGGAGAGGGGGCGCCACTGGCTGGGGGGCACTCCCTCCGGGGCCGGAGCAGGCTGGGAAAGAGACAGAGAAAGGTGTTCTGGGTAGAGGAAAAAAATAGACAGCAGAACTCGAGTGACCTTTCCAGAGAGAGGGACCCCGTCTCCCTAGGTCACCAAGCAGGGAGTCGGCAGGATGCCAGGCTGGGTCCTGGCAGGGGGGAGGAGCTGCCCAGATATGAGGAGGAGGAGGGAAGGAGGCAGAGCCTCTCAGACCATCTTCCCTCAGCAGGTGGGGGGCTGAGGAAACAGTATCCCTCAGGGATAAGAAAGGGCTCCCGGAGATAGAGAATTACCCTCAGAGAATAAGCAGGGGAACACACACCAGGGGATTTGGAGTCCTGATTGGCGCCTGCTCAGATTGGGTGGGTGCTGCAGGCCCGGTGCCTTTCTGTGGGAAGGCTCTGAGAAGAACCAGCCAGTCTGGAACAAATCTCATTTTAAGCTAGACTAGACCAAGAACTTCCTGGCCCCTGCATGTGCCAGCATGCTTCCCAGATGGTGCCATGCCAACAACCTGCCCACAGGGCCTCGGGCTCAGGCTTGCCCTGACAAGCAGGTTTGGCCCTGGGGGCTGTGTTAAAGGGGCCGTGAGTGGTCTTTACCCCACTACCCCCGCGTGGCCCTGCATGGCCCTCTGTGCCCTGGGTGGCAGTTCGGTGGGTCCTGGAGGCCTGGTGTCCCTCAGAGACAGCTGAGACATGTCCAGGTGCCATTAGGCCCAGAGCCAACCCCTAACAAGCAGAACGGACAGAGGCCTGGTCTGGTGGAGAGGCTGGGCCTGGGGTGGGGCTGGGAGTGGGCAGGTGGCTGGTCCTCTTGGGGCTTCACTGGCCCTCCCTCTCCTCTGTGGGCAGTGCTGGGGTGTGGTAAACCAGGTCCCGAATCCGGAGACTGGGTCTGCACTCAGCTCACTGGCGGATCTCCTGAACCAGGCCGGGCTCTCTTGGGGGGCAGGGCTCCCACCGACCTGGGTGGAGCCTGCGAGCTGGGGCCCAAAGCGGATTCTGACCACAGACTGTGGGGACGGGTGGGGACCCCACTTTAGGCTGCGGACGTGGCCTCGTTTGACGTCGGGGTCCGTGCGCTTCTTTGGTCCGGAGGTGAGGCTCCCACCGTGTGTGTGTGCGCGCGCGCGCATGCGCAGCCCCCAGTCCCGGGCTTGAACTCAGGGCCTGGCGCTGTCTCTGAGCTCCTTGGCTCCAGGCTTGGCGTCCTGGTGACCAGTGAGCAGAGCCTCCCGGACGTGGCTGCCCGGGCGGGCCTCGGACGGCCACCTTCCGTTCTCAGCCGCCTGGGTGCCCCGCTAGGCTCCCACTTGTGGAGGCCTCCCTGTCCAGGAGGGGCGGGAAGGCGCCTTCTCGGGCCGGCTGGCCCATCCGGGGGCGCCAGAGCCGGCCGGGCGGAGGGGACGGGCGCCCAGACCCCGCCTCCGGCCCAGAAGCCACGCCCATTATGCCACGCCCACCTGCCCCGACCTCGCCCCTCCGACCCCGCCCGCCCCTCCGACCAGCCCCGCCCATGCAAACCCCGCCCCCAGATCAGGCCCCGCCCACAAAACCACGCCCGTAGGCCTCGGACCCACCCCATCCCGCTTCACCCCTTCGGCCCCGCCCCTC